GTATAAGCGTTAAAAATAGTAGTAGTTGTAGTAGTAGTGGTATTAGTAGCAACAGTTATTGTATTAGCAAATAAAGTAGTAGTAATAGTAGTATTAATAGTAGTAGTAGTAGTAGTAGTAGTAGTAGTAGTAGTAGTAGTAGTAGTAGTAGTAGTAGTAGTAGTAGTAGTAGTAGTAGTAGTAGTAGTAGTAACAGAAGCAACAATTGTTATAGTATCAGCGTTAAAAAGTAGTAGAAGTATCAACAGTTGCATTAGCGTTAAAGTAGTAGTAGTAGTAAAAGTAGTAGTAGTAGAAGTAGTAGTAGTAGTAGTAGTAGTAGTAGTAGTAGTAGTAGTAGTAGTAGTAGTAGTAGTAGTAGTAGTAGTAGTAGTAGTAGTAGTAGTAGTAGTAGTAGTAGTAGTAGTAGTAGCAGCAGCAGCAGCAGTGGAAGCAATTGTAATAAGTGTAGCATAACTGAAACTGCACTTAAACAACAGGAGCTACCCAGTACATTAATTAACATGTATCCTAACATGAAATATTCATCATCATCATTCTTTTATGCCGCTGTATGTCACACAGAGCTCGCAATTGGTTCTTCCGTACCTTTTATCCTGTGCAGCTTTTTTGTGGAATTCCGTCCAGAACCACATGCGTCTCTTCAACGTTCGCCCTAGGGAATTTCGTGGGCTGCGTGGTCGGTGTCCGCCTCGAGTTCTAGAGTTTCCGGTTTTAATCCCCGGTAAGTTCTAGGATTTTTTCAAGTGGACTTGGACTTCTTTTAATTTCCTCTGGTCTCTGGGTAGTCAGATCGGACGCCAGTGTGTGTTGTTGCGCACGTCAAAAATCATTGGGCAGTTGGAAATCGAAAAAAGTAGCCTAACGGCCCTTCTCGGGCAAAAATTTTAAGTCTAAAAATCTACCCAAAGTATTTCAGGATCCTCGCTGGTGCTACAGAGCCTGTGCATTATGATGAGCTTCATGGACTTAGACTTGAGTTAGAAGAAAAACGGAGCACTTATAGGTTACTACCCGCGTGCTATGATGTTGATCCTTTGTTCAAACCTCTAACCTCTAACCTCAAACATTAGATAATTTCTGTTGCGCCTATTCAACATTTACCAGCTGTAACTTCCGGCAGAAAAATATATAACCTTTCGTGCACTTCTGCACTGTTAGTCTTGTCCCAGAACAGCAGTTGTTTTGTGCACATCCGGTTAACAGATCTGACTTATTTTTGTGCAGGCTGAAGGTTTCTCGCCTCCCAGGCAGATGAACTTGGACTTCGCAGAAAAGCCCAATTATTAGCGTTTTAGAGGCTTCTTCGAGGGGTGGGGGTAGGGGCGGGGAATTGGGGTAGGGGTGGGGGCTTCCCCCCCCCCACTCCCACCCCCAATTTGGCCGCTGCACTCACACGGGAATCCCATATTTTGGGAGTTATATCACGGTTCAGTGGATCACATGTGCGTTGAGAAACAGCAAGACTAACAATAAAGTCAAAGCTGCGTTATTGGCACGATAACATGTAATTATGACTAAAAAATTAGCGGCAGAAATGATGAGGAAAAATCCTTACAAAAATAAGCTTTTACTTAAAACTCATTCTATGACTGATGCAATAATAATAATGATAAACAAACTATCATATAAGACAATAGACACCCATTAAATCTCTTTACAACATTTATATGCAATGTTTAACCACCCTTATAAAATCATATGGTGCGTAATGAACAATACTCGGTTTGATTTATCTAATGAATAAGCTTTTGTCTGTATACATTTAAATTGCTATATATACATATACGATGTAATTACGCGCATATTACTTCCAAGGGCGCCCCGTGCTTCTGTTAGTCGTAAGTCGTATACAGGTAACTTTATTTAATCCTGTGTGACCGTTAATTTTTATGAAAAATTGAAAACAAAATATTTGATTGGGAAAGGGGGGGGGTGGGGGGTGGGGGGGGGTCTTTTATTGATTTGATTATGCGAAGCATAAAACTAACTTGGGGGGGGGGGGGGGAACTAATGTTTATTTTCATTTTTTGTGATTCATTTAAAACAGAACCTGCTAAACTTCGCTTGTTGCCTGTTGTACGCTGTAAAAAAAAATAGGGGGGGGGGGGGGGGGGTTTCGAGCCTGAAGATTTAGGGCCGTATAGTTAGTGCTGTCAGAACGAACTAAGCAGGTTAAGATTTTATTTTTGTCCCCAGACAGGAGAAAGTCCACAACCTTACTGAGGATTCAAACCTGGTTCTCCCGCACGATAGTCCTGCCTTCTTGACCGTCGGTCAGCCGCTGCTCTTAAAAACAATCAGTTTCTGATATAATTTTTTTTTTTTTCTGAACATTCCATTGAAGTAGCGACGTGAAGAGAAAGAAGTAGGACCACCCACACAACTTGCCATTAATCTCCACCAGTGGTTCTCAAACTTTTTCCCCCGCGGCCCTCTTGTCGAACAAAAAAAAAAAAAAAAAATACTGTGGCCCACCTACCCTTGAAGCGGTTAAATACTTGAATAAATTTAAAAAATAAAAGTGTACATTCAATGTTCAGTTGTCTTTAATGAATGAAACTGTGTGGATGAAGTTTTCAGTATTTCTTTTATGTATATGGGAAGTTTGCGACGTCCGGGGTTTAGGTGTTGCGAGTCCGACTCGTAATTCCAACGTACCGCGATCGAAACCCACTGCTGGCTGCGTGGATTTTTATCATGGTATGGGACGTCGCAGGTCGACCCAGCCTAAAATGGGCGCCAGGATGCCTATTTTGGGGAAGTGAAGACGGCCGGCATAATACTGACCACATAATCCACCCAGTGCCGATTAGTCTGTAAAAATATGGGCGCTCTTCCCATATGTCAGCTCTGTGGCTAAGTCGATGCGAACGCTTCGTAATGCCGGGATGCCGGTTTCGATCCCATCTGCGGGCCATGCGCCTTGCGTTGGTTTCGACAGTGGTATCAAGAAAGCCGACCGTCCAGGAAGCAATGGCAAACTACTGGACGTAAATTTGCCTAGAAAAACCACATAACAGCCAGGGGCTGCTGGGGTTGGTTCTGCAACGTCCTGTAAAGGATACGCAACTAACCTTGCCATATGCCCGATACGCCAAAAGGCGTGAAAAGGGATGTTTACTTTTTACTTTATATGGAAGTTTAGTTAATTTTACCCTCAAATCCCCTGACTCCGAATATTTGCCCTGGTATATTTTTTGTAAGTGTACGTTGAGAATGCACTGCATCCGTGCCGATAGCATTGTCTTTTGAACACACCTGCATCCATAACTTTTTTGTGTGGCTACCTTCAAGGTAATTATGTTTTAAACTTCTTCTTTGCGTAATCTTCAGCTGTAATCTTTGGTGGAAAGTTATGGATGTTTGTCCATTTCTGGACTGCAGTCCTGTTCCAGAACCTGAGTGTTGCGTGTGCATCCGTTTGACAGATCTGAAATATTTATGGGCATGTGGTGGTTCCATGCCTCTCAGGCAGATGAACTCAAACATAAAAAAAAAAAAAAAAAAAAAAAAAAAAAAAAAAAAGAAGCTGTCAATTAGTCGACTCTTACGACATGCTTTTGGGTAGGCAGTGGGTCTATTCTTGTTTTTCCTATAACAGGGCCCCGAAACCCACACAGGGGTTGTTTTTAAACTGCTGTCTTCGCAGATCTCAAGCAGATTTGGAAAAATTCTTGATTATTGCTTTGGCGCCCCTGGTATGCCCAAAGAGGATGCTAAATGCTACATAGAACCTGTTCTGCTGTATGGCAACGAATCTTAGAATGTCACTGAACACATTAAGAAGAATTTGGAAGCAACAGAGATGTGATTTCTGAGACGAATGTAACGAATACCTTGGACGGCTAGAGTAACTAACAACGATTGTTTGAAAGAGGCTAATGAAAGTAGGTCTTTATATACAACAATAAGAAAGAAACAAACACTGTTCTTTGGCCACATAATGAGAAGAGAGATATTGGAAAACATCGTGACAACTGGAAAGATCAGTGAAAAAAAAGATAGAGGCAGACCAAGGGAGATGATGCTGGATGGGCTAAAACGATGACATGAAGGGATATCATCAAGAGAGTTGTTCCAGTCAGCCGGGGATAGTGATCGGTGAAGACGCATAAGCGCCTACGCCAATTGGCAGGGCACATGATGATGATGATGACCCCTGGGTGTCGCGACACCCAGTTTTTGAACCGCTGATCTAGACAAGACAGCTGCGACACCCAGTTTGAGAACCGCTGATCTAGACAAGAGCCACAACACCCGATTTGAGAACCGCTGATTTAGACAAGAGCCATGACACCCAGTTTGAGAACCACTGATCTAGACAAGACAGCTGCGACACCCAGTTTGAGAGCCGCTGATCTAGACAAGAGCCACAACACCAAATTTGAGAACCGCTGATCTAGACAAGACAGCCACGACAACTATTTTCAGAACCGCTGATCTAGACAAGAGCCATGACACCCAGTTTGAGAACCGCTGATCTAGACAAGAGCCATGACACCCAGTTTGAGAACCGCTGATCTAGACAAGAGCCATGACACATAGTTTGAGAACCGCTGATCTAGACAAGAGCCATGACACCCAGTTTGAGAACCGCTGATCTGGACAAGACAGCCACGACACCCAGTTTGAGAAGCGCTGATCTGGACAAGAGCCATAACACCTAGTTTCAGAACCGCTGATCTAGACGAGAGCCATGACACCCAGTTTGAGAACCGCTGATCTAGACAAGAGCCATGACACCCATTTTGAGAACCGCTGAATTTGACAAGACAGCCACGACACCCGGTTTGAGAACCGCTGATCTAGACAAGACAAACTTGAAACCCAGTTTGAGAGCCGCTGATCTAGACAATACAGCCACGACACCCAGTTTGAGAACCGCTGATCTGGACAAGACAGACTTGAAACCCAGTTTAAGAGCCGCTGATCTGGACAGGACAGCCACGACACCCAGTTTAAGAAACGCTGATCTGGACAAGACAGCCACGACATACCTGCCTGTTTTAGTGATGATCATCTCGGTGCCCAAACTGTGGAACTTGCCCCACAGGTCTCTGTTGTCCAGTGTCACTTTAATGTTCTTATCCATGGAGTCTGGCTGTGGTCCAGTCAGCGCCCGCTTGTGGTCAGTACTTCCCAGATGATGGTAGCTGCCGAACTGCTGACCCTGAGTCACTGTAGAGAAGTCAAGATTTCGTTCACTACTTACATCTCGCTGTGTGTTTGTTGGTGATTCATTACGGAGGGTCTCCGCGGAGTACTGGTCAAGCCTTTCGCCTCGCGCTATGGAGGTCGTGGGTTCGTTTAACAGCGAAACCGTTCAGTTTAAGAGTGCAGTTTTACATAGATTAATTGGGGTCGTCGCCAGAGCTACGGAGGTTGTACTCTGTGCGACGCTCTCCGCATGCAGCTAGCTGTTCTGCGGAAACAGACTAAGTCATTTGGGATAAAACCCGGTGCAATGAAGTTGATACTCTTGACTTTACCTTTTGTTACCAATCACAGGTTACACTTTTCTGTAACTGGTCCTCTGGCTAGTTAATACACTTGATCCATCCCAATATGGGAGGCAATTTTTGTTTGGTTCTGTTTGCTTAAACCCACCGCGGCTGTCGTCGGGGACCCTAAATATGCTGAACGGGGTTTCTGGGACTTGCGTCCGGGCGATTCTCATCCGAACGGTGGCACTTTGTGTCACCGGGTATTTATCGCTTGTTGTGCTTTCCTAGAGGGGTTGAACCTCTGTCAGTCAGATACTGTCACCCAGTCTGTCACAACTGTTACTCAACTCCTATCTCCCCTCTAGACTAAAAGACTGATTACAGCGGGTTACACCTACCTAATCCGTAACTACGAATCCCTGTTGCTGGCGCATTTCCGTCTTTACATACGGTAGCGTTAAAATGTACTGTTGGGAGGCATAGGAGTCACAGTCCGTTACCAAACCAGTTACAGCAACGAATTCCTAGAAAGCCTGAGCAGTATTCTCCTACTTCTTCTTCTCTTTCACCGGCTATAAACCCCAGCGGAAAGTTCTGGTTGTTCGTCCACTTCTGGATTCTGGTCCTATTGCAGAACCTGACTCATTTGCATGCAGACTGTTGGTTCCTTGTCTATCAGGAAGCTCCCAACTAGTCGACTCTTATGACATGCTTGTTGGGAAGGCGGTAGGTCTATTCTTGTTTCCCCCCACAATGGGACCCCGGAACCCACACAGGGGGAGCAGTATTGGGGAAATTCTATATAGTCTGTACAGCATGACCCACCAATCAGCGAGCTTGATTAACTTCAAAGGAAATGTAATACCAACACGTTTGGAACCCACGTACGGAACAGATTGCTACTCTTAAAAGCGCAAGTTTAACAACAAAATTAATTGTATATATATATATATATATATATATATATATATATATATATATATATATATATATATATATATATATATATATATATATATACAATAGCATCTTGTTTATTATTACTACTACTACTGCTGCTGCTGCTGCTGCTACTACTACTACTACTACTACTACTACTACTACTACTACTACTACTACTACTACTACTACTACTACTACTACTACTACTACTACTAATTCTACTACTACTTCTACTACTACTACTAATACTACTACTACTACTACTTCCACTACTACTACTACTTCCACTACTACTACTACTATACTACTACTACTACTACTACTACTACTACTACTACTACTACTACTACTACTACTACTACTGCTACTACTACTACTACTACTACTTCCACTACTACTACTGCTGCTACTACTACTACTACTACTACTACTACTACTACTACTACTACTACTACTACTACTACTACTACTACTACTACTACTACTACTACTACTACTACTACTACTACTACTACTACCACTACTACTACTACTACTACTTCCACTACTACTACTACTACTTCTACTACTACTACTACTAACAATACTTCTACTGCTACCACTAGGGCTGCTGCAACAACAGCAACTACTACTACTACTACTACGACTACTACTACTACAACTACAACTACTAATACTACTACTAGGGCTGCTGCAACGACGACGACAACAACAACAACTACTACTACAAAAAAACCTTTTAGCACCCCACAACTATTACTGTTACAACAACAACAGAACAACAACTTCTACTAGTGCTGCTACACCACTACCTCCTTTACTTCAGCATCCTTGTCCTCCGCCTTGCCTTAACTTCTCCTCTGCTCCTTCGTCGTCCTCGTCATTTTTTTATTTAGCCTCCTTGTCCTCCGCCTTGCCTTAACTTCTCCTCTGCTCCTTCGTCGTCCTCGTCATTTTTTTATTTAGCCTCCTTGTCCTCCGCCTCGCCTTAACTTCTCCTCTGCTCCTTCGTCACACTCGTCATTGTTTTATTTAGCCTCCTTGTCCTCCGCCTTGCCTTAACTTCTCCTCTGCTCCTATGTCGTTCTGGTCATTGTTTTGTTTACCCTCCCCCCCCCCCCGCCCTTTCCGCCACCCGCACTTCGTACTTCTCCTTCCCCTTTTTTCACCCTTATTGTCCTCTACCTATTCTCTCATACGTCCCCCCGTCTTCATTGTCCTCTATGTAGTTCCTACTCTTCCGTTTCACACTCCCTACTCTTCCCTATCTATTTGTGACAACTGACCTACACTTACCAGCCAGTGAGACTGGATCATGGTGGACTGAAAAAGCGAAGGGAGAGAACTGTGTACTGGGCATGAGTCCGTGAGACATCGGGAATGTCCGCGCCCTCTGGGTAAGCAGCTCGTCCTCATACATGCTTGCTTGAGCAGCTGCGAACAGACAACAGTGACCGATATCAAGGGCGGCTCTACGTGTTAGAGGTTAGTAAGTTTTTAAAGGGGTAGAAAATTATAGAAAAGAGAAAAGGTGGGTAAGAAAAAACAAATAGTTTATGTTAGCTCTACAAAATCTATCACAATAAACAAACAAATGACGTTGCGGCGATTAGCCCTTATCAGCACATATAAAGAACAACACAGTAGACATACACAAATATGCTCTAACTATGAAGTGACTATTTAGGACTCTAATATACAAAATAAATGATACTTATCTGTGTCGTGGCAAAAAACTTCGTTCAAGAGGGTGACTAGGACAGGTATTAGCCTATAAATCACAAACACTCGGACAGGAAGCGAAAACGGGTCAGAATACCTGGGAAATGGGCGGAGTAGACGCCAACAGACACAATTTGTAGAGGCTAGTAAATACGTTTCACAATTTCGTAGTAACTGTTCGATTTTAGCAGCAGGGGATTTATTTAAAAAAAAAAAATACCGGTCTCGTCGTATTCGGACCACAGTATGAGAGTCGCACTGTGGAAGAGATTGGGGCCTTAATTTTAGACTGGATGAGTTACTGACTACTGAATGGGAATCGACATTACAGCACACCGTGCATCCCAAAGGTGCTCCTTCTCCAACAGCAAATGTCTTAAAGTTTGAGGTTTGAACAACGGATCAACATCATGGCACACCGGTAGTAACCCATAAGTGCTCCGTTCTTCTTCTAACTCAAGTCTGACTCCAAAGAAGCTTAGCACATCGCACAGGCTCTGTGGCACCGGCGGGAATCCTGAAATACTTTGGGTAGATTTTTAATTCCAAATTTTGTCCGGGCAGCGCCGTTAGGCTACTCTTTTCGATTTTGAACTGTCACGGGATTTTTTACGAGCGCAAGAATGCACACGGGCGTCCGATCTCATTACCAAGAGACCAGGGGGAATTACTAAAAGTCCAAGTCCACGTAAGTAAATCCCTATCCTTACAGCACGAGTCGTTCTCTTTCTCTGCTACGTGCCTTCTTACTTGATTCACTCCTAATTCTTTGTTCATAATCATACACTATAATTCCTCCGGTAACTGTTTCTGCTATCCACTTAAAGAGCTGCAGTGACTGCCTCCACCTCCATCTCCAGGGCTTAAAGTTGTAGATAAAAAAGGTGAAACTACATAGACATGTTCACTCAAAATGAGGACCCAAAACCCACACAGGGAGACATGTTTACCCAAATTGAGGACCCAAACCCCACACAAGGAGACACGTTTACCCAAACTGAGGACCTAAAACCCACACAGGAAGACATGTTCACCCAAAATGAGGACCCAAAACCCACACAGGGTAACATGTTTAGCTAAAATGAGGCCCCAGAACCAATACAGAGAGACAAGTTCACCCGAAATAAGGCACCGGAATCCAAACAGAGAGACAAGTTCATGCACAAATTATTTAAAAAAATTATCTGATACCCTTTCGTATAGGGAGCGGCTGGCCGAGCGGTTCAGAATGCATTGCTCTGACGCAGGAGATCTAGGTTTGAATCCTCGGTAAGGTTATGGTGTTGTTTATTTTTTTTTTTCAGTCTTCACTTGCACTGTCAGTGGTGACAGCACTAACCATGCGACCCTTAACGCTCAGGCTCAAATGTCCCCCACCCCCATGCCTTGCCGATTTAAGCGAGCGATCACGCCTCTCTACCGTCAGCGATCTATAACCGCAGGAATCAGTTCTTGTGCTGACGCTCCTCCATGCCATGACACAAGGTTGTCAAGAATCATCTCATGTTGTCTTCCTCTGTCTCTTTTTCCACTGACCTTTCGAATACTCACCTCATGTTCCCATTTTCATTTTTCATAACGCAACATAACCTTGACCCATTAGGGGCGTTGGAGATGTATCGATCACTAGCACACAACACCCGCCACGTCTCTGTCTTCCGCTTGCTGAACAAGTGTATGATAACTTAGTCCTGTCAGTTTCTTGATGTTGTCATTCCGGGTTCTTCTTTGCCCTCCTTTTCTTCGACTACCCTCTTCCCCCACCTTTTTTTCTGAAGCACAGTCCTTGCAATCAAATCATGTCTCACCACGTGACCAAACCAAGCTAGCTTGCTTGTTTTACCACTGTCATGACAGGCTCCTGAGGGCCTAGATATGGCCTAACGACTGAAAGAGGTTTCTGGGACCTCTCCACGGGTAATTTTCATCCGCATAGTGGCACTTTGGGTCACCGTGTGTTTATCTCTTGTGTGATGTCCTGGTGGGGTAAAAAGTCAGTCAGTCAGGAAATCGAAAAAGAATAAAGTAACGGCGCTGCCCGGGCAAAGTTTGGAGTTAAAAATCTGCCCAAAATTATTTCAGGATCATCGCTGGTGCAACGGAGTTTGTACACTGCGCTCAGTTCTTTAGACTCGGGTTTAAGTTAGAAGTAGAACTGTGTGCCATGATGAT